AGTTTAATGTTTATTATCTTCTAATTAAATTCAAACCAACAGGAGAATTTAATTTGAAGAGCAGTTGACTTTGGTTTAGTAAATTATGATTATGTTTGTCCTCTAATTTAAATTGAAATAGTAGTTCAATTTTGTTTAAGTCAGATTATGGTATTGTCATTTTCTGACCAACGTTGATGATGACCATATTATAATGAGTTTAAGTTTGAGGTTTAAATCTCTGATAAATTTTACACCAGCGTGGTCAATTTTTCAGAGAGTAGATAAGGACCAAGAAATGCTCCTGAACTAATAGAATGTATTTTATTATCTAGTTTCCGCTGCAATGATGTTGATTATTTTCTAATTAAATTCGAACCAATAGGAGAATTTAATTTTGAAGAGTAGTTATATGTCTTTTAAGTTAATTTATGAGTTTTATGCATTAATTCTATTTTCTGCCCAACGGTGATGTAGAATTAGTGTAGAAACATCTTGTATATTTCGTGATGGCGGGAGAAGTTTTGTGATGACTCATATGTAGTTGTATCCCGCATAGCGAGAGAAGTTTGGGTAGCTCTTATGCTATCGTAGTATTGACCATGGCACAATAGAAATACACCATCATGGTCAATACTAACCAAAAGATAAAAAAAAGATGCAAGCATGACTTGCAAAAGTACAGTTAATAAAAGACCTCGTTGAGTTCTTGAAGTGGAATGAGGAAAGTGTACTCCTATACGGATCAAGAAATAACTTTATTTGCATGGCATAATCATGTGAATGCAGTAAGTCATAAGTGTCTCCTCGTTCACAGTTTTCTGAATAATTCTCGAAATTATGGCAGTGTAGTTCATGCCATATTTCGAGAGGGAGAATTGTGAGATAAATTAAGAGTAAGAATTAAGATCAATTAAAAAACTATTCTTCATTAAGAGTGAGATAAAGATATTTATAAATATGTACTCTTCATTAAGAGTGAGATATAGATTTTGTAAGAAACTGAGTGAGATAAAGATTTTGATGAATATGACCGTCGGTCATAACAATGATACCCCTAAGTAGAGAAACAGCTAAATTCCTAGATTTTTTAAAAATCCGAGAGGAAGATAGCGTAGTCACCATCAAAGATATTAAAGCGGTGCTTAAAGTGCCATATAAGATTTTAATAGATTGAACCCAAATAAAAATTGGAAGATACACTATCTTTATAAAAGATGGAACGATCTGTGGGAGCACGGTATGTAGAGATCTATGACTTAAAGAGAAGCGGGACTACGTGCCAACTTCAGTGATTCAAAACAACGAATTTCTCGATACCTGTTGATGTTGTATGACTTATACAACACCTGTTGTTGGCTCTTCAAAGAAGATGAATAAAGTAAACAAGGATGTTGTGATATAGGAGCATGTAGAATCAATTGTCTCTTGGCAATGAAGAGCAACAACAGTCCCACAGGAAAGTGCTAGTAGCTGAGGACCCAGAAGGTCTCAAATAACTAGTAAACCAGTTTTCTGATGACTATAAAGTCTATGTTAGTGAAGAAATTCAAATAGAGAGTGATCCCACCTCATTTAAAGAAGCTATGAGAAGCGTTTACTCATTTGAATGGCAAGCAGCTATGGAAGTTGAAATAAATTCGATGAATACCAACGATGTTTGGGACTTAGAAGAAATTCTTATTGGAGCCAAAACAGTAGGCTGTGAAAAGGGTCTACAAGACAAAATGTGACTCCAAAGAGAATGTGGAAAGATATAAAGCATGACTTATAGCAAAAGGCTTTACGCAAAGAGAATGAATAGATTACGATGAGAGTTTTCTCTCCAGTCTCATGCAAGGATTCATTTAGAATCATAATGGTGTTATTGGCACATTACGATTTAGAGTTACATCATATGGATGTAAAGACGACATTCCTCAACGAGGATTTATATGAAAATGTTTACATGGCATAACCCAAAGGTTTTGTTATGGACGAAAAAGAACGTATGGGATGCCACCTGTAGAAATCCATTTATGAGTTAAAATAAGTCTCTAGACAGTAGTATTTAAAGTTGATGAAACGATAAGAAAGTTTGAGTTTAAAGAAAATGAGAAGGACAATAGCGTTTATGCAAAGTTCAAGAATGGAAAATTCTTTTTCCACATCGTGTGTATAGATGACATCATACTCACTAGTAGTAATGTTAATCTGCCATTGGAGAGGAAGAAGTCTTTGTCCTCAAGTTTCAATGTGAATGATCTTGCTAAAGCCTCATTGATTTTAGGAATTGAAATTCACCGAGATAGATGAAAAGGGGTATTAGGACTATCGCAAAGGCATACTTAGAAAAGATTCTAAAGAAATAAAGTATGCATGCGAGTAAACCTACGCCTGCTCCTATAGTCAAGGGTAATAGATTTGAGAACTTTCAGTGTTCCAGGAACCGATATGAGATCGATCAAATGAACATGGTTCCATATGCTTCAGTTGTTAGAAGCTTAATGAAAGTACAAGTAAGAACTTACTCTGACGTAGCTTACGTATCCGAGATATTTTGGTAGAAGTCCAGTCAAGATATAGATCACTGGAATGAAGTTAAAAATGTCTTACAATTTTTGCAAAGTATCATAGGCCTCATGCTGAGTAAGAAAGAACAAGTACTCTCAAATAGTTGTGGGTACAAATGTTAAGTATTGGTGAGATATGTAGTGAAATCCACAGTAGTTGCTAACACTCGCAGTCGGATTATTATTGTAGAAAAGCTCCAATAAAATAGTTGTGGTGTCATCAATGATGCATACCATAGTATAGCTTGTTATGAGGTCTCAGGAACAGGCAAAAGTGTTTAAGGGAATATGTACCCAGATTTAACAATGGTAGTCAACAGCAATAACCATTTAAAGTAGTTAACTCCTAAGACAACAGGTCAAGTGTGCTGCCAAACATATTTACATTAAGTTATATGTTGTAAAGGAGAAAATCTAGAATCATTTTGAAAGCATTGAGCATATAAGTACCAAGCAAGTACTTGTGGATCCGCTTACCAAAGGCTAACCACCCAGTGCGTTTAGAGAACACACAATCGACATGGGTTTACAGGAAAGCCTATGATTTCTGGATACTAAGGGCCTAGTTGAGAATCTGTTTCAAAATAGAGAGGTGCATTGTAGCTATTTAATCTAATGGCAACTGACCGTGACGATGATGCACGCTCTATGCACTGATCTGCGATGGAATGAAAAAAAGATAAAGTACGTTAAGTTTAAATCATAAGGTGAGATCAAGGAGGAGAATGTTAGATTGATCTCCACCAGTTGGCCCAACGGCCAATTGGGCCCTTGATCTGCGCCCTAATCAGGAGCGCCCGGCCGTTCTCCTGGTTGATGGGTCCCCGTCGCGCAGCGCTATAAAAAGAAATGTGGGGGGTCGGGGCACAAGGCATGAGGTTCACTGCTGCCACCAGTTCCCCACCGAGTCTAACCCTAGTCCGATCAAGAGGAGAGCTGTGAGCGACGGGAAGCTCCATTGGTGTCGTTACTGGACCACGCCCCACTATGATGCTACTTCTACTCCGACATCAGTGTCCACGTCGCGGTGGCGCCATGGCCGCCACTGCATGCAGCGAGATACATCACCAAATCCTTATCTAAGTTATATTTTACCCACTAGATCTACGCATAGATGGTCCTACAAGTATATCATCTACACCTGAAGGTCGGTATGCACAGTCTGCAAAATTCTCAGTCTCCCACACTAATCCAGTGGTCACTAATTAAATCCTCATCCCCACAGACCAGCTACGTACACATTTTTTAAGCGAAATCAGACAAACTACACATTAGCAGAGAACGAATTGATAAAAGGTTAATTGGCTAAATTTAGACCATAAGATCTAAACATGGCTTTAGAGAGCAACATTTCCTTTCCTTTTCCTCTCTTATATCTAGGAGTATCCTTTAACTAGTTGATCTACAAGCATTCACTTCATGTCTTCCAGTAACAAACAATAAGAGGCTACAGTACTCCCTTAAAAAAAGGCTACATCTTGCAATGCGCTAATGTCAATCAAGGCCTCACCCTCATCGGGCCGTGCTACACGCTTGTGGGCTATATATATAGTCTTAGTGCAGGAATAATCGGCCCGTCGGAAATAGGAAGTACCTCGTGCAAGTTGGCATTAAATCGATCGCAAAAACCGCTGAAAAGATATCGAATTTTTGAAAACCTACTAGTTGTGGCGTTTTATGTTGCAAGAGTTATGAACATCAAAATTCAAGGAGCGATAAAATTAAGCGAAAAAGAAATCACAATTGGAGCGATACTGATAAGCAAACCCGGCCCGTAGAATACGTACAGGTTGTGGTAGGCCATATCATAATAATTCATCAGAACGCAGTACATCGAAAGCACTATATCTATTTAGATAATTTAAAGCACTATCTATACGCCACGTGTTTGTAGATCTGTATCCGGACTGTTTGAAGTAGCTAGCAATCCATGCATTTCCTTCTTCACCGTCACACGGGAAAACCTTGAATCAAATATATATGCACAACATCGTGCATGGTAACCTGCCAAATTAAAAGTAAATTTAAACTCGTCGATCGGGCGCTTGATCGAACTGAATATTTGTAGAGTAGCACACCATCAAAAAGTTTGAGAGAATAACCAGGCAGCATATATAGCAGCATCTATCCCATGTAATTACTGGAGACGCTTGGAGCTTAGAAGTTACACATGAACACATCCATCAATGGCGCGCCGCACCCAAAAAATACCCTGCAACATCATCAATCAGTCGACTCAAACACGATTGAGGCCCATGCCCATTGGTATATATTATTTCTTTTTTTGGGGGAAAAAAGAAAGATCCAATGTTATTTCGTCAAGAAAATTATATGTTTGCGCTCAAATGATTACTGCATATATAGATTATATGTCCGTACGTACCTCAAATCTTTAGAAACAGAGACCCGACCATGTATGCAAGCTCATACATATGGAATGGAAACAAGACAGGGGCGATCATCAGCGGATCACTCAGGTGCAGGTGCAGTGCTCAGAGGCGTCGACGCTGCTGACGAAAGAGGAGAACGAAACCACCAGCAGACGTCACGGCAGCCGCGGCCCAGACGCCCACCGCGACGGGCCACGTCATCACGCCGGCAACCTTCCACGCGAACATGGCGGTGAGCAGCGTGCAGAGCGCCCAGACCCTGCGCCTCAGCCTCCGTCGGCGCCACCTCGTAGGCGCGAAGGAAGCGGAGCAGCGGCAGGAGAGCGCCGTAGCTGACGATCACGAAAGCTACGGAAGCGACGTCCCCTGCCGCCGCTGCTGTGTAGATGGCTGAGGCGCCGGTCACGGTGCGGAGGACGGCTCCCCACGCCGGCGACTCTCTGATGCTCCATCCTAAGACGATAGCTTGCAGGCGGTACAAGATTGTCTCCTTTGGGGGGTTGAGCTTTGAAGGCACACGAGGCTTGCTGGCTGCTGTTCGTGAAGGTCGTGAAGGCGTGAAAGAGAGAAGGGATCACGGGAATCTGGAACACGCTACCTAGCTTCGTTGCATTGGAAGGCACGGAACCTATAATAATTTAATTTATTTTTCCTTTAATTCAAGCCTGTAATGATTTTGTCTTCTTTTTTTCTTTTATTTTATCTAAGAGATTATTTCGAAAAGGGAAAAGGATAAAGGAGGGACCCTTATTACAACATTATGGGTCTGGCCCAGCAAGGACTGCCGCGGCACCGTCAGCTACACGTGGGCCTTGTTGTCGGCTCCTTCGACTGGGGATGATCCGTGGGCCTGCTGAAGCCAGTGTTTACTGGGCTTTTGGGCCAACCAGACACAAGTTTATTGAAATTCATTGTAGGTCCAATGCTATTATTTTTCATGAAAAAGTTCGTTTGACCTCGGAACCTTATATTATATTGTGCTAATCCGATTTACTTCTCTCAATGAAAAAAATAGAATTTTAGACTCTTCTAACTTTTGAAACCGTCCAATTCATTCAAAACCATTTTTAAAACCGCTCAGGAGATAAATCGGACGTTCAGTTAGAAGAGTCTAAAAAATCCAGTTTTAAATTGTATGAGGTAAATCGGACGTTCAGTTAGAATAGTCGATAGAGGTTAAATAATTTCTTTTCTATTTTTTCATCCAGCCAAGGAAAGATATTTATGCTTGGTCATTTATTAGTGGCGGATATGGATGCTGAACGTGTGGAAGCGACGAAAGGACACTGGTACGGACAACCATCCATCACGTCTCCCTAGCGTTGTCGCACACACTTGCAACGTGTGCCTTGGCGCTAGCATACGTTTATATCGTAACTCAGCGGTGTTCAAATTCAAAGCCCCATACGCTTGCAAAGGCACAGCCAGCCGACTGACCGAAGCGGCGCCGCGATAATAGCTCAACTCCCATATGGCCATATGATATGATTTGGTTCATTTTATGAACGACGCTTAGTATGTGTTTGGTTCTGGAGATGGACGAATAGAGGATGATGGAATGAATTGATCCTATTTTTAAGATGTTTGAGGACTATTAGGGACGGGACCATTTTCGAGTGGAATATACCTCCTATTTGGCCGATTTTTTTGTGTGCAAATTTGGTTTTTTTTTGTCAAAATTCATGTTTACACCACTGGACGACATAAAATTAACTTTGGATCCTTTTCTCAACGTCATGCCCAACATCGCCGAGGTAATCGCCGTGGTAACATGTCTCGGCGCTATGAGATTGGAGGCTACAAATTACGTGGCTGTCGGCGTGACGCTGACGTGACCAAAGCTCGGCGCCGTGAACCATGGCCACATTCTACCTAATAAACAAAAAATATCTCAACCAAACACACAGAACAGATTTGTCCACCCTAAAAAAATCAGGGACAAGACCGTTCCGTCCTACCATGTCTCAAATCAAGCACACGCTGAGGCGACTACGAGCGGTGGTCAACGGGGTAGAAGCAGAGGACCACTCTCTGCCAGCAGCGCAAATTCGAAGGCAGATTTTATTCAAAGTGACGAACTGGGAAAGAAAGCGCAGGAAGCAAAAAATGAAATGAACACGCCCGGCAGCGAAACGCAGACTGACATCGACTGTCTCCAAAGCATTAATTAATTAAGGAGAAACGCCCAGAACCCTCCTGCGGCCGTGGCGACGGCCAAGAGCCAGACCACCGCGGCCACGGCCGGCGGCATGAGCGGTGCTACCCTCGAGGCGAACATGGCCGTGAGCAGCGTGGTGAGCGCCTACACCGCGGCTTTCACCTTGGCATCCCTGCCCCGGCCGCCGCCCCGCCCAAACTCACGGAGGCAGAGGAAGAGCAGCACGAGCGCTGCGTCCGCGCGGAGCACGAACGCCACGGAGCCGGCGTCACCGCAGGAGTTGTAGATGGCGAGCGCCGAGTTGAAGGTCAGGGCGCCCAAGCCGAGCTTGGTCAGGGTGGAATATCCTCGGTCGGCCATGTGAAATCGAACGATCTTCCGCGCGCAGAAACCGAGTGCATGTGTCCTGCATTCATAACCGAGTGCATTACAAAGGATAAATAGGCCCATGGCCACTGGCAAGTAGCAACATGGAGATGCGTTCTGCATGTGCGGCTGAGATTGAAACCTCCTAAATGCTAGTCTTAGGTCTTGTTTAGATTGGGGTTATGAATCAGTATTTGATACTGTAGCACGTTCGTTTGTATTTGACAATTATTGTCCAATCATGTCCTAACTAGGCTCAAAAGATTTGTCTCGTAATTTACAATCAAACTATGTATTTAGTTATTTTTTTATCTACATTTAATATTCCATGCATGTGTCCAAAGATTTGATGTGATGGTGAGAGAGTGAAAAAACTTGCAATCTAAATAAGGCCTTACTCTTGTTGTATGCCCGCTTCTCCACTCTGCTGCATGTGTGAAACCTCCTAAATGCTAGGCTTGACTAAGCATTTGTACTCTGTTGCATGCTAGATCTGACTGAAGCCTCCCGGCCTATTTGGCACGGCTTATGCCGGCTTCGGCTTCATTTATTTTGTGCAAATCGAGGCACTGTAGCGTGAAGCCGTTTTGTAAGCCGGGGTTAAAATGAACTAGAAGTCGAGAAAAGCTAGTTTTTCTGGCTTCACCGGCTTTGGCTTCACCGGTGAAGCCGTTTTGGATGAGCCGTGTCAAAGGGGGCTTAAAACTCACGGTCTTGATCTGGCCACGGTGATCGTGCCTCTACTATTGCCCACGTGACACGGGAATAGAGACTTTTTTTAATGTGCTCATAGGAGTAGGATGATGACACTATTCTTTAGGTGGCTATCCGTGGATAGCGAAGTGTCTGTGATGATTTCATCAGCCTCAAAAATTGCAGGCTTTGTGTTTTAGAGATGGTTATAGGAGTAGAGTATGAAAATGTAGAGATGATAAGTGTATATGCAACTAGGTGAGTATTTGTGTGTATTGTGATTTGATTAAAATAAAGGGTTTCGACCTGTGAGCTTGCTTAGCTTTTAGGGCAGCAAGGTCGTCGAGCCGGTAGGCTCTCGTGGGGGTGTGTGAAACTTGCAAGCTAAGGAACGTCGTAGCTTTTTTTTTTCCAATAAAAGAAGAGAAGGAGTATCTTTTTTTAGTAAAAGAAAAGGACAAAGGGGAAAATGGTAAAGAACGTTAATGGTTCAGTCGGGCCACTGGGTCCAGTCTCCAGCGATATTATTTACAACAGCACTGGGCCACGAAAGCCATTTCGGTCTGTTCGTGAGCGCGTGGACCACGAAAGCTCCACGTGACGACTAAACGCGCGATGCAGCAGACAGGCGTCGCGCGCCCGCAACGCCAACTCAGCACCATGATTTCAGACACGGCGTCGCGGAAGCCGGAAGCACCGCGGTTTCGTGGTCAGCCTTCCGCCAGTCGCCATGGCAACACCGTCCATGTGTCCCAGCCGTGGAACGGACTGCGGAAATAGATGGCCAATGGGCCGGCCCGGCCTGTCGAGCCATTTTTCCGGCCAGGCCGGCCTGAAAAGCCCGAGCGTCTTAGTAGGCCGTGCCGGCCCAGCAGCTCGACGAGAGATGAACGGAGGCGGCGGCGTCACCTCCAGGCGGGGCGCGGGTGGCGAAGGGGCGGCGGCGCGGCACACCGGTGACCCATGATGGCATGGCGCCACGGATCGGGCTGTAGGGCGGAGCTGATGCGGACACGGAAGAAGGGTGCGGCTGGCCACGGCCCGCGGGGAAAGAAGAAGAAGGTAGCAAGCACCTGCAGGTTACGCGGTAGAGCGGTGGTGGTGCTCTACGAGTCGGAGTGGATGGGGAGTGCGGGCCACGAACGAGAGGGCTGAGAGGGAGACTTGTGACTTGCGGGATTCACAAGCACGAGCGAGAGCCGAGAGGGAGAGTGCGGCGGGGTGGGGAGGGGAGGGGGAAATGAGTTAGGACTTAGGGTTGGGGAGCGGTGGGCTCTTAGCAAGCTACGGAGGTGACTGGGCCGCCACCGGACACGTGTCTAAATGTCGTGCCAGGCCGGACCGTCTAGCGTGCCGCCAGGCACGACCCTATACACCGGGCCGGGCTGGGCCAGGATCGTGCTAGGCCAAGATGTCGTGCTTTGGGGCGGGTTGTCGTGCGTCGGGCTGCATGAACATCTATAAGTGCGGATACATAGCTGTGAACACCGACGCCGCCGACGATGCTGATGGAAGCTGCGTGTCGACAGCGTCGTCGGCATGCACGAGGCAGACACGATTCCATTGGAAAATCAGCTGGGCCTTCATGCTTCATATCGTGGCACCTTTGTACCAGTAGCTGACGGGCGGGTGTCGCTGTTCTTTAGACGTACCGTACGTACGAGACGGTAAAAAGAAGGCACTACGGCAATTACCGTTTAAAGGATGGGATGGACAGACGGGCACCTTATTACTTCATCGTAATGGAAAGCAGCGCATATATAATAAATCACTTAATACAGCCTTTTCAAACAATCTATCTTCTGCATACAACATGGTATACATACAGACTGCAAACTAGAAACTCGAACAAATTCTCCTGCGCATGCACCCACAAGATCTCTCCACGGACGCATGCATCAAGGATTCAGTTGAGGAAGAACGCCCAAAAGCCGCCGGCGGCCGTGGCGACGGCCATCGCCCAGACAATCGCGCCGACGACCGGTGGCATCAGCGGCGCCACCCTTGACGCGAACATGGCCGAGAGCAGCGTCGTCAGCGTCCACACCGCGGCTCTGGTCCTGATATCCCTGCCCCTGCCGCCCCGCTCCTGCTCCAACGCACGGAGGCAGAGGAAGAGCAGCACGAGGATGGCGTCCGCGGCGAGCACGAACGAGACGGAGCTCGCGTCGCCCCAGGAGTTGTAGATGGCGAGCACCGAGTTGAAGGTGAGGACGCCCAGGGCTAACTTGGTTAGTCCGGCATACTGCCGGTCCATGTTGGTGTACACGTGGTGGGGAGCGTGCGGAGATCGGAGACGGCGACGACGATCCGACGAGCGAGCATGGGGTCACCGGTCACGACTGCCGACTGGGCTGTGCTGGCTAAAGATGGCGAGGGCAGGCGTAGTGGTAGGAGTGTATATATAGCAGAGTGTCGGGTTGAGAAAGCGGACTCGGCAACTCATGAAAGGGACGGATGGAGATACGGATAGTCTTAGGTTCTAATCCCGACGCGGCACCACGCCGGCCAAGTTTTGACTTTTAGAGGCTCTTCATTTAATTTGACTGCGCGTGAGGCGTGGCCAAACGACACTTTTCTTCCTCGTCAGTGCCGGTCCGAGGATTTTATCTCGTCGCAACGGCCCTATAAAATCTTATAATATACATACACTAATTTTATTTATAAAATGAAAGCAAATTCAATAATTTATTTTTAATTTAACATGTTTGATAATTATCGATGAACAATGTAGACTAAGCAATATATTTGTAGATGTATGATAATTATCGAGGAACAATGTAGATTAAAAAAACAATATATTCGTTTTCTTTTCTCACCCATGACAAATGTTTCTTAGGTAACATTCTAAAATTCTAACACCTAAATTAGAAGAAAAATATGACTATATGGGTACAAAATATTAGAAGTCTGGAATACTATACAAATAATTAATTTGGATTAAAAATAAAAAAAAAACTTGGGCCTAAACAACTGATCGGTGATGGCAATTCGTAAGAAGCCCAGAATCAAGATGTCATCGTCGTAGAGCCATGTCTGGTCACCGTCCTCATGCGCCGTGTCCGTGTCTTCGGTAGTCTAGCTCTTCGCGGCAGCGCGGCTCGCCAGCTCCGCGTGTGTAAGGCGTACGTCGCGAACTCACGATCAGAGTGTGCTGTGTGCAGCGTGACTCCTCGCCCCCTCTCTACCCGAGGGCTATGAGGAAAGAAAACTAGGAAAGAAATGCCGATGTTGTCTTTTTGGACTGCTGGCCAGTTTTTTTTATCTCTCTTCTCATTAGTTTGCTAATGCCTAATGAACTATAGGACTTGGGGATCTGTATACCTGGGCTTAGACCCCTCCTCTGCTTGGACCCTCGGCAGTCGCACCTCGTGCCCTACCACTAGGGCCGGCACTGTTCCTCATTCAAAGTACCTTGCATTCTCAGTTTCTCATGTTGTCGTTCAAACCGTCCCCACATGACGATCGAGGCGCCAGGCTGGCAGCCCTTCTTATATACCCGGCATTTGTTGAGGTAGGTATATACGCCGGCCGATCCGAGGAGGGGGTACCCATCTCCATTTATAAGCTGGAATAACACGTTAACCAGCCTTTTGTTCGGTTAGCGGTCGGCGATTGGTCCATGCTACACATCAAAGCAGCCCACGCTGTTAAGAATTATTGGGAGTAGCGCAATTTTACGTTACAATTATAAATACGAATACACATTTTCACATACGACTCGTGTTGGTTCTGGATGGCCTTGCCGGTAGGGATCAAAGAAGCCTTAGACGCCAAACGCCGGGCGTTCCTCTGGAACGGCTCCGACAAAACCTCTGGCGCCAAGTGTCTAGTGGCTTGGGAGAAAGTGTGCACCATGAAAGAAGATGGAGGGCTTGGCATCAGGAGGCTGGACACCCAGAACGCACCGTGTACACCATCCGAATGACTCCTCAGTCCTCATGGGCAACTTGGGCAAGGCAGCAAGTCCAAATTGTGGGGCTCCAGGGGGGGCATCGCCGGTGACCATTGGAGCCCTTGAGAAGTCTGCTGCTGCTGCCGGCATACCGCAGTATCTATCTCCTATGTCAAGGTTGGAGATGGGTCTGAAACCTCATTCTCTTCTCTACTTCAACCACGACTCACCCCGAGAGCAACAAGTGAGCTACTTCAGTTGCAGCAGCTATTACAGGACGTGACCCTGATAGAGGCACAAGACGAGAGAGTTTGTGCTTTTGAAAAAAAGAAGACCACAAGCTAACAACGGGCTTGATTTACAGGGCGTCAATCAGAGGGGAGCAACAGCTTACATCCTTTGCCTT